CTTCGGCCGCCGCTCTGCTCATTCCCAACGCTGCTGGGAGACGGGGATCTCAGCCATGGCCGCGGCGAACCCTTGGGACCCCGCGTCTGCGCCAAACCCTGCGGGACTGTTGCTGGGCCATTTCGTAGCTTCCGGGATAGTCACTCAGGTACCTGGGCGGCGATGGCGTCATTAAGGGGGGTGCCCACGGTGGCGACAGAGGTGGCTGTGAAGTGGTGGTACTGGCTCGGGGCTGTACTAGAGACAGAGGGAGCGGCCCATTCCAGCCAACAACAGACACCGTTCTGAAGTGGGTTCTGCGAAAGCGGGGCTCCGAGTAGGTGGTGACTCGAGTAGACGGTGTTTCGGGTGTCTGCAGGCGAGTTATCCCAGGTCTGTTCGTGGGAGATAATAAAGACCGGTTACCTCCCTCCTCCCGTGTTTTGTTTTTTTTTCCTAATCCAGTGCTACAGTCTCTAGATTGCAAATGGGTGACGGGTTGGGAGAATGGCTAGGTAATTAAAGCATACGTTCCCACACAACGCTCGTCTGTGTGAGGTATTGAAGCGTATTTGGGGCGGGAGGCGCTGGGTACACGAGAGCGCCAGGGGAAACGCGCATCTTTAAAGGCCCCTCAAAAAAAAGTATTGGTGAAAAAGACCCGAAAGATCTTGTAACCTGAATGGAGGAAGGCATTAATTTTGAGTAGGAGAGACTAGGGAGATTAGCGCAAGGGGTGGTAGTTTTAGATTGGGCCAGAAGACCATGTTCATAGGCCAAAGGGAAGAAGACAATAGAGGGAGAAATTGAAGATGTGAGGGAATAATGGAATACAAGTGAAAAAGGAACAAGGGACTCGGGAAAGTGGAATTGAGGGAAATAAAGAAACTTTTAGGCCCGGCCGGACGTGCCTCAGTGGTTGAGCATGGACCTAGGATCCTGGAGATGGCAGTTGACTCCGGGTCAGGGCCCATGCCTGGGTTTCAGGCTCCATCCCCAGTTGGGGGCATGCAGGAGGCAGACGGTAATGACTCTCTCATGGTTGATGTTGCTATCTCTCCCTCTCCCTTCCTCTCTCTGAAATCAATAAAGATATTTAAAAAAAAAAAGTTTTTAGATAATAAGGAAGTTGAATATCACTAAGGAAACAGAAAAGTAGAAAGGTAAAGTCATTGGCAGAGATTAGCAGTATAAACATGATGAAAGATTTATGGAAAATAGACAGCTTTTTTTTTTTTCAGAGAACGTGGAAGGGGGAGAGAGAGAGAGAGAAATATGGAGGAGAATTGGTTACCTCTGGTTCTTGGGCTGACCATGGCTGGGGTTGAGCCTGCAACAGAGGTACATGGCCTTGGGGTGAACTGAACCTGCGACCCTTTGGTCCAAGGGCTGATGCTCTAACCACTGAGCCAAACAAGCTAGGGCAAAATATACAACTTTTTATACTTAGAAGAGTCATTAGAGAATTCTACTTCCTTGAAATGAAACTAAGGCCTAAGGAGACCAAGAAATTTGGCCATGGTCACTTAACTAGTAAAGTGTGGGATTAGATACCAGAGCTCTCCCTTTTTGATATACTGGTTCATCTCTAAGATGAACTGTGACAGATGCTACTGTGACACTATCTTGAAAGTTTAAACTTCTGTTGAAGAACTCTTCTAAATTGCTTGAATACCTAGTAACAGGACCTTATGAATGTGGGGTGGGGGTTACAAGTAGTAGTAATGAATGCATTGGAAAATAGGAAAAACATAACCACATCACACCAGTTCTCACCTTCCTCACTTCTCTCCTGTGTTTTCTTCCTACCAAGTTGCCTAGTACTCTCACTAGTTCTGTAACAAAGTAATTTGATGAACTCCTACTATAAGACATTTGGGACTTATCCCTGTAGAGCTCTTGGTAGAAGGCATAAACATCTAACTAAAGGAGTAAGTCTCTGGTGAGAGAATTTTACGCATTGATGAGTGAGCTGTTTGTTGGGATGGTGGTGATTTTGGGGGAGGATCTTCCTAGTGTCCTTCAAGTAACACTAATTAGATAGATAGTTATCTGTTTTGCCTCTGAGTTCTGCCAGTCCTTAGCTCCATAAGACCATCTTACAATCTTACTGCACAGCTAGTCCCAATGAAGAAACTTTAGATTTGGAGCGTGGTTTTACTTTAAGTAAACTTTACATATGAAAACCTACTTTAATTAGAAGGGTTTAGTATAGACTCTTTCAAAATGATGCATTATATGATTCCTTTAAACAGTCCATTTCTTAAGTGCACTACATCATCCCATGTGCATTAAAAATTAAGAGTGATGCTTAAAATTGTGATGATACAACTCTTCTGGAAAACATAGCTTGTTTGAGCTTTGTTCTGTTTTGATCTATCCATTGGAGAGTGACTTAATTAAAGAAAGGTAGGGTTAACTGTGGGATAACATGGAGTATTTGCTTTCTTTTATGCTTTAGTGGCCTTACATTCTACATATTTGTCAGGCAAGTTTGAATGAGTCATGGCATCTTGATCAAAGCTCCCTCTACTGGTAATGTATAAGGTAAAGATCTGGACCTACAAAACACCCAGAATCTATTATTTTTTAATATATATATTAGGGCTTAGTCACAATTCTCAAATGGTTAGAATTTCTGTTTACTAAAGAAATTTGCCTACTCTTTAATTCCTGTCTCTCTTTTGTGGGGCCTCCCTTTCTTCAACATTCTTATTTTACCTCTGGTTTCTATCACAAGTTCTTGCCTGAGCTCCATTACCCTGTTGTTGAACCCAACAGTTTACTAGTTTTCACATGTGCAACTAAGCCGGGCTGGGTGTGGCTCAGCGGTTGAGCATCGACCTAGGATCCAGGAGATCGCGGTTCGATTCCTGGTCAGGGCACATGCCCGGGTTGTGGGCTCGATGCCCCAGTGGGGGTTGGGAGTGCAGGAAGCAGCCAATTGATGACTCTCATCATTGATGTTTCTCTCTCTCTCTTTCCCTCTCCCATCCTCTCTCTGAAATCAATAAAGATAGATAGATAGATATATTTTTTTAAAAAGTGCAACTAAGATTAGTTTGTACGTATAGAGAGATAGAAAGAGACCAGAGAGTGAGTAGGTTACAATGAGGAATTGGCATTGGGCTCCATTTAGCTCATGAGCTGTGTAGTTTCCTAACCCCTGTCCTATAGGATCTCTAAAGTTCTTTCCTGTGCTAACATTCTGAAAAGCAGAAGAGGATGCAGAAAATTATGGATGAAGTCTAGAGATGAACAAGATAATATTCTTATTCTGAGATTACCTGCAATTTAAGGAAGCAATATAAAACATAGAATGAAAGGATTAAAAAGGTGGTAGTCTTTTTAGAAGAATAATTATGCCTGGGCAAAACATTCCTTTAAGAGAGTGAGAATGTGAAAAGAGATAATGTGAATGACTTGTAGCTAATAGAGGTCATTTAATGAATCTAATAAATGTCTCCATGGGAGTCTGGTGTGGGGAGAGCATTTGATTTTAGCCCCAAGAAGGTCAGAGAGTCTAGGTGTTGGTCATTTGTATAGGGGTAATTCTCCAAAACCTCAGCCTTAGATTCCTCTGATAAACTATCAGTAATGCAAATCTGTTGTTCCTGGTACTTTAGGAAATAGTACAAAGTGATTAAATAATTTGGTTTTCTAACTTTTAAAATATTTGGGCAAATGATTTGTGATAGTGGAGGTTTTAAAAACAGAAAGTACACATTATTACTGTTGTACTCTGTATTTCATTTTTCAGAGGCAGTGATGAATGCAATATATCCTTATATTTTAGATCTATAGGCATGCTTTTCCAGTGCATATAGAAACTTTAGATGACATGCTGCCTCTATCTGTTTACTTCCCATTAGGAGATGTTAAATATATCTAAGAAATCAACTCCTTGCTTTGTGAACTTCTCCAGGCTACAGCAAACCACAAATATTCAAGCTGAAATCAATCAGGTAAATTATGTTGAACTTTTTACTTTCTACTTCTGGTACAGGAAAAAAATCTTAATTGTTTCCAACAGCAATTCTCTTGCACTTAGAACAGTGTCTAGTAAATAGCTGGATAGGTGTTTACTTGTAGTAGTTGTAACAGTAATAGTAGTAGTTGGTGGTAGTAGTAGTAGCAGCAACAGGGCTTGAATACCAATGTGAAAAGCTTCAGTAAATCCCCTGGGCTCTCATAACAAATCCTCCTCCTACCCCCCTTAAATATTCCTTGGCTAAAGACTTTCCATTTTTATCAGAGACTATCCTTTAATCAGGCTCCTTTCTGAGTGAGCTAAATACTATTTTTGTTTCTCATGCAGAAAAACCTGGAAATTGAACTTCTAAGACTAGAAAAAGATGCAGCAGATATTGTTCATCCTTCTTTTTTGGGTAAGTGGTTTGGTTAAATGGGTGGGTAATCATTGGAATTTCAACTTTTTCTTGCATTACTTTAAATAAGCACCAGGCATTATGATATACCATTATTTTTCTAGGTATTGCCCCAAAGCTAACAAAGTTTCCTATTTTTGTGTTCAAACAGAAGTCTTTTGGCTTGACTAGTGCAAATTGCATAAAAATTGACCAAGGTAGGAGCTCTGCAAAATCAGGAGAGCTTGGAAGACAAAAAAAAGGGCTGAGGAACTTTACAGATTAAAGGCAACCAAAGGGACATGACATCTAAGGCATAGATTGAATACTTGATTAGAAAATTTTTTGCTGTAAAGGACATTATTGGGATACTTGGTGATATTTGAATATGGGCTATATTAAATATTGGTAGTATTGTGCCAATGTTAAATTTTCCGAATTTGATACTTGTAGTGTAGTTATATAAGAGATGGGAAATACATGCTGACATTTTAGAGGTAAAAGGTCATGATATCTGCAGCTTACTCCCAAATGGTGAGCAAATATACATGTAAGGGTGTGGAGAGAAAGAGGGCGGGGGAAATGTAGCCAAGTGTTAACAGTTAGTGAGTCTAGGTGAAATGTATATGGGAATTCAATGAACTATTCTTGAAACTCTCTGTAAGTTTGAAATGTTTTCAAAATAAAAATTTAAAAGAAGAGGCCATTAACTGAATTCTGGGGGAAATATTGAAATGATTATAAACAGCTTATAAGACAATTGTTTTTTAATGTTTGTGTAGAATATTAGAGGCAGAGATGGGAAAAGAGACTTTATTTGAAGAATACAGCTCTGGCTGTAAAAACTGAACTAGAAGTAGTGTTGAAAAACACAATGTAGCAGTGAGTTTGGTTGTCAGTAGGAAAAATAAGAGAAAATGAAATTGGTATTGGGTATTAGGAATAGCAAAGGGGAGATATTTAGGAAAGAAATGATGAGATAATTTTTGACACTGGTAGTATCAAACCAAAGCAAGGAAAGAACTTATTATTGATTTCAAAATTTACTTGTCCTATTGCTAATTATAATTATTCTTTCTGGTTTGTGTAGATCAAAAGTGTCAAACTCTGCAAAGCATGAATAATCATTTGGAAGCAGTGCTAAAAGAGAAGAGGTCCCTCAGGCAAAGACTGTTGAAACCCATGTGCCAGGAAAACCTGCCTATTGAAGCTGTTTATCACAGGTTAGACTAAAAAGTAGACATTAACAGTTACATATGTTTTCTGAATATAGTTTAGACTAGTAGTCATTTCATAGCATAATTTATTAAATAATATATTAGTGATTATATCTATTAAATTATTATTAATGCTGATACGTTAAACCAGAAAGAAAATCTTTAGCTTTTAAAGTATAACTTGATAGTCGCTTCAGCAGCATATATACTAAAATTGGAACAATAGAGAAGATTAGCATGGCCCCTGTGCAAGGATGACACACAGATTCATGAAGCTTTCCATATTTTTCTGGCTAAAGAAGATGTGGTACATGTACACAATGGAGTACTACTCAGCCATAAGAAAGGATGAAATACTACCATTTATAACAACGTGGATGGACCTTGAGAATATTATGCTAAATGAAATAAGTCAGTCAGAAAAAGCTAAGAACCATATGATTTCACTCATGTGTGGGATATAAAACTGAAACTCGTGAACACAAACAGCAGTGTGGTGGTTTCCAGAGGGAAGGTGGTTGGGAGTGAGGAGTGAAGGGGGTCTTAATATATGGTGGCGGGAGAAGATATGACTTTGGGTGGTGGGCACACAGAGCAATATACAGATCTTGTAACACAGAAACCCATACCTGATACTTATATGTTCATATTAACCATTGTCACCCCAATAAATTTAATAAAGTGTTATAAAAAATAAAGTATAACCATGGTGAAAAGGAAGGCATTCCTTTGTCCATAGTGTTTTGGGAACTATAAATAATGATTTTAATGAAAGAAATTAGATCCATAACATAGAGTAAATTGGGTAAAAATTATTTTTATTATGTAGAGATCATTTTCTATGAAGTAAATTTGTTGCATTAATGTTGCCTATACAGGGTGGAGCAAAAGTAGGTTTACAATTGTGAGTATGTGCAATACAGAGTTTATTCTTGTATTACTATTTATTAATTATTGTATTATTTTCCATACGAACAACTGTAAACCTACTTTTGCCCCACTCTATATAAAAATTCTGTTGAGGGAGTTTAAGCAAGGACAGATGAAAACAATGTCAACTAAAGGAGGGAAAACTGGTCTCATCTGTATTGTTTATATGCCTCAAAGACTTGGGCAAATGATTTAAGCTTTTGCCTCAGTTTCCCAGTCGATAGATGCTCTCCATTGCTCTCTTCCTCATGGGAGTATTTCAAGTACCAAATTGAAGATGTGAGTTATTATTAATAATAAAATAAAGAAGCAGGCATCTGGGAATCTGATCGCTAATTTTCTCTATCAGTGCCTCACTAGCTGACCCTGAGCAAATCAGTATCTTCTCTTTGGTATCAGATATTTTTATCTTACAGTAATATGATATACAAATCCCATTCTTGTGGACCTGTTCTGTATAGTAAAATACCATTAATGTATATGTTAATACATTATATATATCAGAAGAACTGAGTAATGATTTTAAAGCATTTTGCAAATGCAAAGGTTCAAAGTAGTTTTTATGTATAGGCTATTTCAGTGAAGTACATTTGTCCTTATTGTCTTAATCTTCACCCAGAATGAGTAGTTTGAAATGGATTTATCACTGATATTTCCATGAATGCAGAAAGTTATTATTGGATCATTGGGTAGATTGTAATTCTGTTATCTCATATTGAAAGTCCTAGTAGGGGAAAAGGAGAACACAAAATACACCAAAAAATAATAATAATTGGCTTTTTTCCTCCCTCTTTCAGATACCTGGTACATTTGCTGGAGTTGGCGGTTACTTTCATTGAGAGATTAGAAACCCATCTTGAAACAATTAGAAATATTCCTCATTTAGATGCAAATCTAAAGAAAATGGTGAGTATTAACAATAGCATTTAAGTACCTCATCAACTCCTTTCAGCTATCTTTAGTTCTTTCATACTAGAATCTCAAATGTGTGATCTACTTGTTTAATTTTTTGATGGCTAATTTGAGTGAATTATTTTTTAAAATCAAGAAGCTGTTTCTTTTTTTATATTCTTTAAAAGTCATTTTACATTCTTTTATTGAAATATTTAATAAATATGTTATCTTCTTTGTGCAAGGTATCATGAGAGATTAATAAGTATGACTAATCCCTGCCCTCAAATTCTCAAGGTTTGATGAGAGAGCTATAAGATACTTTCTACTTTATAGTATATTTGCACAGTGAGTATAGCAGAGAATTAAAAAGAAGATGCTGTCTATTAAGCACAGAAAAGGCTGGGATTACTTTCACTTCAGGGAGATTGGGAGTAGGATAGGGTTTAGGAATACTCCAATAAAGTTTTATATAGGAGTTAGAGAGCTGAATCTTAAAGAATCTGTGAGGTTTGCACATGCTTTAGAAAGAAAAAGCAGCAGTGTGAGAAAAGACATGAAAATTAGAGAACACAATGCCCTGGCTGGGTAGTTCAGTTAGTTGGAGCATCATCCCGATATGCCAGGGTTGTGGGTTCAATCCCTGTTTAGGGCACATACAAGAATCAACCAATGAATGCATAGATAAGTGGAACAACAAATCGATGTTTCTCTTTCTCTTTCCCTCCTCTCCCTTCCTCCCTTCTTTCTTCCTCTCTCTATAAAAATCAATAAATAGAAATTTAAAAAAGAAAATTACAGAGCAAAACTAGTTTGGGGAAGAGTGGTATTACACTTTTGGTGATGAGATTAATTCAGTGTTGGTTTATGGAATGCCTTGAAAACCAGACTAAGAGATTCAGGCTTAACTGTCTGAGTGTGGGAAATCATTGAATTTTGTTTTGTTTTTTAGAGAAAGGAACAGAGGTGTGACTTGATCAGAACTGTTCTTTAGTCATGGAGGAAATATTAAATAGAGTGGACTGAGCCTTGCCACTCAGCGTGGGCAGAGAGCATCAGCATAAGCATCACCTGGAAGCTTGTTAGAAATGCAGAATTGCAGATTTCATTCACCTTAGACCTTCACAGTCTGAATCTACATTTTAACAAGTTCCTCAGGTGATGCCTATGCACATTAAAGTTTGGTAAGCTGTTTGTTAGAGGACTAGGCAGAGGAGCCAAAGGAAGAGAAACTTGGAGAAGAAATAGTTATTCAGATAAAAGATTTAAAGCAGAGGAATACAAAGGATTGTGTAGATTTCTCTAGAGTTTGAAGGTGAAATTTCTAAAATATTGTTACTATTTGGACAAGGAACATGTCCAAGGTAATGAAGTTTCTAGTCTTGCTGACGAGAATGAGTAGGAGCAAGATATTAAAGAAGTTAATGAGTTTGTTTTTTTGGTATTTCTTGCACAGATAGTAAATGTTCAACCATTGTTTGTTGAATTGCAGTTAAATTGAGTTTGAGATATTGAATGTACATCCAGTTGGAGATTTCTAACAGACTGAAATGTGGGACTGAATTTTAGGAAGGAGATTAGGGTCATCTGCTTCGAGGTGATAATTGACAAAGGTGAAGTGACAAACACAAAAAAGCATGTCTGTAAGAAGTGGGAGAGTGCAACTTTAAGGCATGTTTATATTCAGGGGCTGGAAAAGATCAGGTGTTAACTTTGGTATCATAACAGTTTGTGATATTATAATAATATATTGATGACAGGCATAATTTCTCTATTTTCCCCTTCTTTCAAATGTTACAGAGCAAAGCATTAGCCAAGATGGATATTTTGGTGGCTGAGACAGAAGAACTGGCAGAGAATATACTCAAGTGGCGAGAACAACAAAAGGAAATTTCCTCTTGTATCCCCAAAACATTAGCTGAAGAAAATGATCTTCACAAACGTATTGTAACATCATAACTCCTTCTTTACAATTTACTTCTGAAGTTCATGTCCAAATTATTACTGCCAAATGATTCAGTTTAGCAAAAATGATTTATGTAGTCATGTGAAGTCCATTTCTAGTCAATGATAACATGGGTGTTTATAGGCTTTGCTGCTAGCAGTACTGAGAGAGCCCTTTCTATGTTGAAGTACTAAAATTCCACGTTCGTTAAAACCAAACTAACTGTTCGTTTGTTTTTCATATATTTTCATATTGCTTTTCAATAAAACTTATGAAAATCAAGTATTACTATGACAATTTATTAACATGAGTGTATTATCCATATCTCCATATCTCAGGCAGCAGACTGTATGTCTTTTTTTAAAAAATGCTTGTTTCTGAATTAGAAGAGTCTTGAATCTGAACCTATGTTGATTGTTCCTGTGAGATTGTCACTAAATATGCAAAAAAGTAACATACTATCTTTTGAAAATCTTGCTTGTAAGATTTGAGTCCTTTCCTGATATGTCTGGGAACTTAAATTTGAAAAAGATTCCCTCCACTCTCACTGATAAGAGTTGTTCTCTGTGATGAAGCTACTTGTACAATGTGGTTTGTGCTGAATACCTGCTTTCCTTCTGGGAGTCTAGAATTTTGGTACGTGCTAGGCAGAAGGTACCTATGTATCTAGCCTGCAGAAATAACCCTCAGCCCAGCATCTCTTTAGCAGACGTTGCACACAGGTCACAACTCAGGTTCTGGGGGAATGAAGCACATCCTATGTGACTCCACTGGCAGAGGACTCTAGAAGCTGTCTGTGTCCTGTGAGTCCTCCAAGCATGTCATCGAATCTGGGTGGGGAGGGTCTTGGTGAATCTGACACATTGAGCAATTCCTGAGGGTGTTTACTGACAGCCTTAGAAATAGGCAAAGAAAAAGGCACATTATGGCAGAACTTTTAGAGGTTTACCTTACAAGATGCTCAGATATTTTACCTATCTCAGATTATTGTGCATATAAAAGGAAGTGGTATACTAAGACTTACTAAACCTCAAGATGTAGTCATTTGATCAGTACAATAACTACCCCTGGCTTATTTTTAGACTTAGGGTTCTCTTTTGTTTTAAAATGTGTGCATCAGCCCTGGCCGGTGTGGCTAAGTGGGTTGAGCATCATCCTGTACACCAAAAGGTTGCCAGTTCGATTCCTGGCTAGGGCACGTGCCTGGGTTGCAGGTTCGATCTCTGGTAGGGGGCGTGCAGGAGGCAGTCTATTGATGTTTTGCTCTCACATCTGTGTTTATATCTTCCTCTCCTTTCTAAAAAAAAAAAAATCAGTAAAAAATCTTTTAAAAAAATGTGTGCATAAGTATTTTTATACTGTTGTATTCTCTGTATCGGGGGGTTCACTGATCCTTGTATTCATCACATTCAACACAAGAAGATCTCAACACAGTGAATGAATAAAGTAGTTGTTTGTAAGGAAACAGGATCATGGAGAAAAATATCCTATTAAAACAACCAGGGATGTTTTGAAGCTTACTTTGCTGACTTTTGCAAGTGGGATATAAAACAGTGATCATGACATCTTAAACATTACCTAACACTTAAAACTTTCAGTTGTATTTCATCAGAAATCTGTTCAGGTCTGCTTTTTATAATAAACTCGCATATTCACAACTATAAACCTATTTTTGCCCCAACCTGTACATAAACTATATAATATATAATAAGGGTGATAAATAAAAATGTATTTTACAAAATAAAAAATCTAATTTCTAACTAAAATGTAGTGGCCCTTGTCTGAATTCTTTATGGTAGAGAGGGAAGATTCTATATTTAACTTACACAGTTAAAGTACAGGCATACAGGCTGTCTGACTCACAAAAACTTGAGGTAAGTTAAGCCTGAGGTCTACTTAAAAAAGAAAATTTAAATTTAGTACTATGGTAGAGTCAATAAGTGCTGATAATTTTTTTCCTTTTAATTCATCTTTTAGACGTGGATGCTAAACACACAAAGTAGCTCTGGAATATTTTTCTACTTACAGTGGGAAATGTGAAATTTGTGAGTTCACTTCCAGCATAATGATGCCACTTTGTAAGGACTATTCTGGAGGAATGCTGCCTGGTCTTTCTAACATTTTTGGTATTTTACTCCTTCCTCTGATCTATGACTCTGCCAGACTGACTCCTGTTATCCTCTCAAATCTTTAATAAATTCGGGAAAATAGTCTGAGGAATAGGAAAATCCAAAGGGTTTCTTGATATGCAAAATACAACAGAGTTGAGTGAGAGATTAAAAAAACTAATATGGAATTTCCTGAGATGTCTAAAACAAATGAATTTAAATAAATATTCCACAGTTCAGGGAATCCATTCGTGTAATTGAGTTTAATTTTTTTTTTAATATTGATTTCAGAGAGAGCAAGGGAGAGGGAGAGAGAAACATCAATGATGAGAGTTATTGATTGGCTACCTCCTGCACAACCCCCACTGGGGATCTAGCCCAAAACCCAGGCATGTTCCCTGACCAAGAATTGAACCAAGATGGTGATCATAGGTGGTTGCTCAACTGCTGAGCCACACCAGCTGGGCAATTAGGTTTACTTTTTAAAAAGTATAGTTAGAGATAAGCAGACCACATTCTAGAATTCTTTTAATTTTGCCCTTTTCCCCCCTTTTTCCCATTCCCAAGTTATATTTTCCCCTCTCCTTTTGGAAATGTCTTATTTTTGTAGGAAATTATTTCTTTTAGGATATGATAAGAACAAAAGTGTCCCATTATCAGTTTATGAACCTTTCCTGGGAGACTAACTTGATAGACTTCTAATGTTGCTGTACCAGAATTTAAGATGATAAAATAGGAGTCAAATATCTTTTTTGAGAATTTGAACCACTTAATTTTCTTGATGTGGGAGGCTAGTAAAAACAACCACTTTTTGATCCAGCAATCCAACCCTGACTGGTCTCTCTTGGGTTTACGTCCTTTCGCACTCATCAGAATAGTCTAAAACCAGCAGCCAGAGTAATCTTCTAAAAATATAAATCATATTTTGTTCTCTCCTTAAAACTTTCCAGTAGTTTTCCAGCTCACCTAGGAAAAAACCTAAAAACTGTACCATAGCCTCATGCTACCTCTATGACTCTACCCCTCTGTTACTCCATTGTACCTCCACTAGCTTTCTTCTTGTTCCTCTAACATTCCATGCTATCTCTGAGCTCAGGTTCTTTACATTGGTCTGTTTCTGGAATTGTCCTTCCAGATAACTGCATACTCTTTTTAAGAAGTTTTACTGATTGATTGATTGATGAGAGAGATTTGTTGTTCCACTTATTTCCATTTATTTACACATTCATTGGTTGATTCTTATATGTGCCCACAACCTTGGTATATCATGAAGGTGGTATAACCAACTGAGCTACCTGGCCAGGGCAGCATACTCTTCTTTCACATCCTTCAGATTTTTCTCAAGTGTCACATTCTCAGTAAGACCTTCCCTGGCCATATCATCTAAAATTTCAACACCCTTTCTACTCACTTCCTATCGCCTTTCCTGCTATATTTTTTCTCTTTAGCTAATCTGATATACGTTTTACTTCAATTGTTATTTGTTAGTCTCTCTCACCAAGCTCCATGAAGTTATCTTCACTTCTTTGTCCCTTTGTGCTTAGAACAAAGCCTGTCATAATAGGTGCTTAGTTAGGAAACACTGTTAAACAAATGAATACTTGCATAGCTCCCTCCCTTTCTTGAAATCTAGTCAAGTGCCACCTTTTCAGTGAGGTCTCTTGAAGATCCTAGATAAAAAGCATCTTTCCCCCTACATACGCAGAGACCATTACTATATCTTCTTATCCTGCTAAGTTTTTTCCACTCAACATCATTTAACATAGTATACATTTATTTACTTGTCTCTTTTCTCTCTAGTCGATTTCAATTTCCACGAAGGCAGAGACTGTATCCTCAATGACTTAGAAGAGCATTTAACTCTTGGTAGGTACTCAATGATTATTTCTTGGGTCAATTAATGAACCATTTCTGACCGAAAGCGTTCCCTCCACAATGTCTGACCACAGACATTGCCAGGGTGGCCATGAGGTTTCCAGCACAATCGAGAGCTCCCCAATGGGCACTCTAAACTCCCTCACACTCCAACTGACCCCTCAAAGAGAAACGCTGCTCTTTGCTGGGAGCTGCAAAAACATCGGTGTTGTCCATTTCGTTTCTGCCCCTAAAATTTAACCAAAGAATTGACAGCTGAGGTGAATAAAAGTAGTCAGCAAGTCGCTGTAAACTGTCAGGCGTTGACCAAAGTTTAAGGGATTTACTTAACTGCTACAAGCTGTTTCTGCGTGTCGGAGAACAAAAGCTAGTTCCCTGTAAGAGGGTTCGGACGCAGCCCGCCCGACGCTGTCACTCACTGCGCTCCACCGCCCCCGGGGCTCAGGATTGGCGGAGGCTAAGCAGGCACCGCCCCGGCCGGAATAGGGCGCGCTTTTGGGCGAGGCCTTCTCGGGAGGTGCGTGGGCGGAGCCTGGCGGGGAGGGGCGGGGCGAGGCGGGCCAGGTCGGACGTCATCTCTCCCACCGGGCTCAGGATTGGCGGGAGTTCAGCAGGCACCGCCCCGGCTCTCCAGGGGCGCGCGCATGGGCGGGGCCACCCCGGGAGGCGCGTGGGGCGGGAGTGGCGGGGCGGGAGCTGGGGCTAAGTTTGGGGCTGGGGCTGGTGATGCTGCGGCTTGGCCGACTTGCCAGGCTTGGGCGGAGGCCGAGGGATGGCGAACGTGAGGGTGGCTGTGAGGGTCCGGCCCCTCAGCAAGAGGTGAGTCTGGGCGGGAGGGGGCGCGTGAGGCGTCAAGTGAGTTCGGAGGGCGAGGTCCCCGCTTCCCCCTCAAGTGATTAGGGCGTGGAGAAATCGGACACAAAGTGGCCCTGCGGGCCAGGGTCCGGAAACCTTAAAGGCGTGGCAAGGAGAGACCTTGGGTTGAGCTTTCGCGTCGTGCCCCGGGAGCGAGCGGTTCCTGGATGGCCTCGAGGGTGGGCTGCCTCGTCTCCGCGTCCCTGGAGTCCTGCCAGCAGGAGTTTTGAGGGACCTCGGCTCAACTCTTGAGGCCCAGGTTGGGCGTTTCTCACTGGGTACGTTGAGAAGAAGGGCTGGGGAAGTATCTTTACGCGGGGAGAGGGATGGTCAGTCTCTCTCTCCTTGGTGGCTCTGGGGTACCTGTGAGGACTGAGGCAGAATTGTAGGTGCACGTGTGTTTCTCCGCGAAGATGTGGAGAAAGGCAGAGTGTAAGGCACGAGAGGGAAACTGAGGCCCAGAGGGATCGTGGTTTCGTCCTATGCTGGACAGCAGAACTGTGAAACGGGAAGTTACTCGAACAAGGGCCCTTCTCTCAGCGTCGGCAGTGCCCATTTCCTCACAGGTGAATCTGATTCTGCACCTCTCAGCTCTTGAGGCATCCAGTGTCCACACACATAATTTCTTCCCCCTTTCACTAACTTTCCACTCAGGTTTGGAAAGTCAGGGAAGGCTTCGCAGAAGGGTTGGTGTTGGAACTGTTTTTTAAAGACCTGTTTGCTGACAGGTGGAGAAGGTGGAGAAAGCACTCTGTAGTAAAGCACTGACAGGTGGAGGTGTAAAAAGTACTCTGTGTGGACATAGAAGCATGGAACCGACTGAGGGATCTCAGAGGGAAGGCGGGGGAGGGGGTGGGGAGAGATTAATCAAAGAACTTACATGTTTATAAGCATAACCCATGGGCACAGACACTGGTCTAGGGAAGGCCTGGGGGTGGGGTGAATGCGGGGTGGAGGGGATCAATGGGGGTAAGAAGGAGACATCTGTAATATTTTCAACAATAAAGAAACTTAAAAAAAAAAGCACTCTGTATAGTAAAACACTAAGAGAAAAGGGCATAGGCTGTTAGGAAACAGTTCTGGTTGGTTGGGGAGAGGGTATGTGGAGGGAAGTGAGTGATAGGACATAAAGCTGTGGGAAATGTGGTTTGGGACCAGTGGCACATATTGGAATTATTTGGGAAGTTAAAAAATTTTCAGGACATAAGATGGCTTGAAAATTGGGCAGAAGGGTCAAAAAAGGTATTGTCTCCCATAATAAAATTCGATACTAGCAGGGATTGTGTTTGTCCTGATATGAAGGTGACTGGCTTTGAAAAGTCGTGCAAAAGAGGTACATTAAGGAAGAAAAGAAAGCAGGCAAAAAAAAAAAAAAAAAAAGGAAAGCAGCACATGCCTAAACTGCTATGTTTAGATTGGTAAATGGATTTATGACATTTGGCTTCTGCTTTAAGAGGTGTGGTGGCTCAAGGTTGTGTGTGGGGGGTCTGCTACCCTGAGGGTTGCCTTTGGCAGATCCTATTTTTTTTTTTTTTTTTAACTCCTCAGTGGAGGATATGTTTTTATTGATTTTTAGAGAGAGAGAGAAACATTGATCAGTTGCCTCCCATACGTGCCCTTACTCAGAATCAAACCGGCAACCTTTCAGTGTACTGGATGACGCTCCAACCAGCTGAGCCACCGGCCATGGCCGTCTGGCAGATTGCCTTTTTGCAAAACTGTTCTGGTGAGGGTTCTCAGGATAACAACATTGACGACTACTCACAGTAACTTCTCTGTTTCTTGGGAGCTAGGAATTTATAATAGCATGGATTAGATTGAGAAAATGCTGTTGAAATTGAGTTGCTGTTTGCAGCCACAGTAGAGAATAACATCTCATTAACCAAAAGTAAGGGGAAAGAAGGGTGCACAAAGCTTATTTATTGAGCTATGTGAATAGCTTTGAATAGCAAGCAGTAGAATGTCAAGACTACAGATATCCAGGTGTGAGCAGATTATAGCAGGCTTCAGCTATAATCAGGAACACAGATTCAGGAGCAGATATGGAGAAATCCAATGTGATGCCAGCTAAGAAGCTGAGACCACTCCCCTGTTCTCACAGAATCCTGCAGAGATGAAGCTATACGCCAAGATTTGTTAATTTCCAGCATCTTCACTAAGGCTCATCTGAATGTAGGGAATCTGCTGATTATGTAGTTTATTCCAACCCTCAGTAAGTCATTGGCACACACTCAGTTAACAAAGTCATTGGCTCTGATGTTGTATTTGGGACGAAATCTTAGAGATCATCTGGTCTAAGCTTCCATTTTTTTCTGATTTTCCAGGTGAGAAATGGCCTTGTTTAAGGTCTAAAAGTAGAGCCACGATTCAATTCACCAGACTAAACTGTTTCTTCCTGGGATTACAGAAAAGTTGAACTTCTCAGTCAAATGCCTATTTGCTCAGTAGGACTAGAACTGATCATCAGTAAAATGATAAAATGGGAAATGGTTTTGTTGCACACCCCTCTACCTCACACTTGTTTCCCATAATCAGAAAATTAGTAACATTATGAGGTTCTGTCCTTTGTCTATCCAGAATCATTCATCATTGAAACAGCATATTCTCTTCCACCAATACTATAGGCTCTGAAACACTTTCCATTGCACTGCCCAAAGTTACTTTTCATACACCATATTCCCTTTCTATGCTTTAAAAACATTTGTAAAATAGAATAACTACTTCAACGTTTTTGTGAAGATTAAGTGAAAGAATACATTTAAAATACTTAGAACATAACAGAATCTGGCTCATTATAAGTATCCAATAAAGTGTTAGCTATATAATTCTTAACTGTTTTTATTTCTCTCTATACTTAACTGTCTTTTTTTTAAGTTTCACAAATGAATAGATAAGTGGTAATAACTTGGTAATTTCCCCCTCTAGAACACTGATTCTGAAATTATAGTATGCATACAATCCACCTGGGGAACTTGTTGTACTGCAGCTTATTAACAGGATTAAGTAGCCCACCATCTCCCGTATTTCTGATGAAAGTGGCCTGTGGACTGCTTTGAGAAACACTCTCCTGGGAGTAATGTGTAAAGGAGGATTTATTCCTTTGCAAAATCTTTAACCCTAAGGAATGAATGCCTGTTGGTGGAATTTAGGACACTGAGGTGAGTGGTAGTAGCTCCACTCTACTATATGTAAGACTCATCCTCAATAGATTTTCATGGAGCTCCTCAACTGAGGTTAGTGTCCTTTGTTTCTGTTGTGTGCAACCTTAATTCACCCTCATTTTGTTCTAGAATATTTTGGAACCACTAGGTTACCAATGGTAGGGGAGGAGCAGCATCTCACCCTCCTATAGTGTTATATCTTTCTGCTAAGAGGTCTAGTTTTTTGTGTTGTTTGTTTGTTTGTTTGGTTACTTGCTTGCTTTATGCCAAAGAGTCCTAGATGAAACCTTAAGAAAGGGCAAACTTAAAAAAAAAATTAGATAATAAATTTGGAAAAGTTATTGTGTGATTTTTTTTCCTTATTTTCTTCTTGTCCACATTTACTTATATAGAATCTGTATATTACTTTTATAGTGAGAGGAGGGATAATAAAACTTACTTTAAACTGCAGAAAGGAAAAAATCTTATCTTGTAAAATGTTAACACCAAAAATGAAAGGTTGTGGGGTTTTTTTGTTTGTTTTTTTGTTTTAGAAAGCTGAGGGCTGGGGTGGGGGTCAGGGAGCACAGTTTAATGATCCTGGGAGACAAAATATCTCTGTTGATTTAAATATCCAGCCCTGGTCAGCCGGGCATGGCTTAGCAGTTGAGTGTTGATCTAGGATCCAGGTGATCGGGGTTTGATTCCTGGTCAGGGCACATGCCTGGGTTGCTAGCCTTGGTCCCCAGTTGGGGGCATACAGGAGACAGCCAATCAATGACTCTCTCATCATTGATGTTTCTATCTCTCTCTCCCCCTCTTTCCTGTCTCTGAAATAAATAAAGATATATTTAATAAATAAATAAATAAATAATAAATAAATAAATAAATATTATCCAGCCTGGCTGGGCGTGGCTCGCGGTTGAGCGTCCACCTAGGATCCAGGCTGTTGGGGTTAGATTCCTGGTCAGGGCACATGCGGGCTCGATCCCCAGCAGAGGTAGTGCAGGAGGCAGCCAATCAATGACTCTCTCATCTTTGATGTTTCTCTCTCTCTCTCTCTCCCTCTCCTTTCCTCTCTCTGAAATCAATAAAGATACATTTAAAAAAAAATTGTCCAGTATGAAATGTGAAAGAAACTGTATCAGGGCCTTGGGGAAATGTCATTCTCTGGGAGAGGGAACATTTCTATCCAGGGCTTTATTTCACTGACAGGTTTAAAAAAATAAATCTAAAGACATCCTCACCCACAACCAACCCCATCCCCATTTCCCCCCTCTAGTCCTCAAATTCACATCCTGTGAATTCAGAGAAAGGATAAAATGAAACAATGTGTTTCCTCAACTTTCAGGTCCCAGACTAACAGTAATTTAATAACTTTCCTTGCAGTGGAGGAAGTGCTAATAAATTTCTTATCTATTAACATTTTGGTGGTGAGCACTTTAGCTAAAGCTCTTCATGTTATGAAAAAAAAATGTTATATCTAGTATATTTTATTCACTTTAGGCTTCAGTATGTGGGTCACTTGGATTAAACCCCTTAAAGTGAATTTAGGGGTTGGTTAAATGTTAAGTGTTACTATATAACTGCAACATAGGAAGATTCTTAAGGATCTTGGTTCTCATTCCAATATAAGGAAAGGATTGGGGAAATATTTTTTCAGGATCTCAATAGAAAGGACCCCAATACCCTTTTCATGCTTAAAATCCCAGAGAAAGTGAGAGGTGATGTCATGTTGTGTGCGGTACCAAGGATACTCTCCAGGGTTTCCAAGCCTGATGTCTAAGGTATAGGGAAGAGCCCAGGCTTTGTGGTCAGAAAAATCTGGGTTTAAATCCCAGCTCTACCACTGCTACCTGTATGACCTTGGACAAGTTACGTGCTTTTTCTCAGCTTTAGCCTTCCATCTGTAAAAATGGAGACATGTTAGGAAGTTATCTCAGAAGGGTGTGTTAAGAGGATTGCACAAGACTAAATACAATATGTACTGTACCTAATACAGTGCCTAGCATATAAAGGGTGCTCAATAATGGGGACTTTTAGTGGTCCAGAGCCAAATTCTAAAGATCCAGAGAAGCATGCCAAGTAGGGGACTGTTCAGTGTGATGCTTTCAGCCACTTATGGAGACAGATGCCCCAGTTATGGATACAGGAGTGGGGAAACATTTTGTCCCAATAGCACTGGTCTCAACTTCTCTTTTCTTGATCTTCTCATATGGGTTTGGATCTTGTTTCTAGGGAGACCAAAGAAGGAGGAAGAATTATTGTGGAAGTTGATGGTAAAGTGGCAAAAATCAGAAATTTAAAGGTAAGCCTGAAATTGTTTTCCTTTTTCTCTCCACTGAGGGGCTAGTATTATTACAGGAGCTTCTGGGCTGAAGATATGTATGTGAATGTGTTTAGAGGGAGAGTGGAAGAGCTTTGATCAACCACTAAGCAAATTTTAAAAAATAGGAAAGAAGTGCAGGGGATGTTGCTGCCACAGCTCAAGTTCTATCAAATAGGGTGCAGCTGTTTTGGAAACTGTGCAGTAGCTTCTTTGAAAGTAAACACAAGGGATGTATGGGGGATGGGCATGGCTAGCTTAAATCATGTTGAGGACAGTCCATGCATATACTTAACTCGCCTGAGCACCAGTTAGACTTTGTCCCAAGCCTCTCATTTGGTATCACTTTGTCTAGAGGTGCGTGCATCTGCTAATGCAGGATTCATTTTGGCCATAGTGGGGACCAAGTAAGAACCTTCACATCTCAGAAGGGAGTCAGTAACTAGTCTGAGTCTTGTTACAAATGCTCTTTCACAGATTTGACTGATCTTTGAGTCACAGTTGTACAAACTCTGGGAACTTCCTCCTCTACCCCTCACCCCCTCCTAGGGATAATTTCCTCCATCACATTCCTCCCTTACCAAGCCAGTGGAAGTGGAAAGGATTCTTTCTTTCTGTGCCTTGGGGAGTAGAGGGAAACAGGGGAGATGGCCATATGAACTGCCTGAGTGAGGGTTATCTGGACCTCAGGCCACCCAGCCATGCCCACTCACATGTTAGTCCTGTGATGTGATCTGTTTGCTTTTGTCAGTAGCTCTCTGTTAAAAGAGAACAGGAACTGCCAGACTTGTCAACAGGAGCTCCCTGGGGACCAATGACCTTTTATAAATGTATTTTTTTAAAAAAATATATCTTTATTGATTTCAGAGAGAGGAAGGGAGAGGGAGAGAGAGATAGAAACATCAATGATGAGAGAGTCACTGATCTGCTGCAGCCCGCAGCCGAGGCATGTGCCTTAATGGGAATCGAACCCTGATCGCCTGGATCCTAGGCCGATGCTCAACCGCTGAGCCATGCCCGGCCGGGCCCAATGACCTTTTATTCTTTGCTGTCTCTTATATCTCTGTTGCCTGATCACTTCAGCTGCTTTGTTCTGAGAGATCATATTTTTGCTTCTTAATAATGCCTGGCCAAGATCAAACTCTAATCTTCCCGCATGCCTTGCTGGCTGCTTATTTCCCTGAGGTCAGTTATCTACTAAGAATCTCTTAGTCATTGTGACAGCCTCATTCTACTGTGGTTTGTGGATCCTAGTGCTGGGATTGTCTCCCTGTCCAGAGTCTAAATTTTAAATAGTAAGACAGGCATTCTGTGAATAATGCCATTCTCCCCTGTACAGCACCTGAAGGTCAGTGCAGTTCTAAGCTCTGGCTCTGCCCTCATCTACCTTGGGCAGTTGGATTGGTACTAGTTCTTCTGTCCAACATGCTTTCTAATTCACTGGGGTGGATCCCCAGGGACCTCTGTGAAAGCCTGAGGTTGACAGAAACCTGTCAGTCCCAGGGACTAAAGTACTCATGCATTTCTGTATCTGCTATAGAAATCTTTAGAGGAAAAAATGATAGTGATAAGAAGATGCCCAGACAGGTAAAGGTTTTCTTTCTCAAGCTGTCCACCTCATTTGTAGGCAGATACATGATAGTATGATAGACATTTAATTAATTCTCTGGGGCTTTATCATATACAGGATGAGGACAGAGGTTAATTTTTCTCTTTTTTTAGATAGATATCATAAAGATCCTCATGACCACTACAGGTCTCTCTAGCTATAGTAAGAGAGGAATCAAGTGCCACTAGCCAGATTCAGATATTATAATGGAGAAGACACTGGATCCTATGTTTGATTTTAGGTGGACAGTCGATCAGATGGGTTTGGCGACTCCCGGGAGAAGGTTGTGGCATTCGGCTTTGATTACTGCTACTGGTCAGTCAACCCAGAGGACCCCCAGTATGCATCTCAGGATGTGGTAATGTCATTTTTCCTTCACTCTTCTCAGTTTTTTGTAACTGTATAATTATTGGGAAATTAACATGAAATCTGGTCCCTGCCTATTTTTTTTTTTTTTTTTTTTTAATATATCTATTGATTTCAGAGAGAGGAAGGGAATGGGAGAGAGAGAGATAGAAACATCATTGATGAGACAGTCATCATTGATCGGCTGCCTCCTGCATGCCCCCAACTGGGGATCGAGCCCACAACCCGGGCATATGCCCTGACCAGGAATCGAACGGTGATCTCCTGGATTCTATGTTGATGCTCAGCCGCTGAGCCACACCCAGCCGGGCTGCCTATTTCTTATGGTAGTTTGGTTAGAAACTAATGATGTTTGATCTGAGAAGTAGTAGTGAGGGCCATCAGTTGTAGAAAGAGGAAAGGACTGCTTGTTCAGGGAATGGGAGTTGGCTAGTGTTTGTTTTGGCTTGGGCCTCAGCGTGATTCAGGTGGGTACAAGTTAGTTTAGGTGGTGGTCTGCTCCTATGGTGAGTGAATGGGCTCATCTCAAACTTGGCCTTGTGTTGCATGCAGCAGAAGGCCCCAGGAATCCTAGAGGCTAGTATCTTCGTTGAACCTTAGGTTTGTGTTCCTAGGCTGAGAGTTAAGGCCTAGACAGCTAGTATGCCTGCCTGCAATGTATGTAAGAGGTAAATTCTGTTGATCTGATGAGGATTGAGAGGATCAGCTAAGGCTGTTGGTCATGCTTTCTATGTCTGGTAGTGCTACCTAGCTCTCTTACAAGTTCCTGAGGCAGCAGGTCTGGTAGGACTTCCCTCTGTTTCTGTGAAGAAACTTCATTGGTCTGGTTTGTTCTGTCAAAGGTCATGCATTCATTCCCCATGATGGCCAGCAAGCCTTGCCTCATTCAGTTCTATGACCACAAACAATAGCCCTCACCCCAGCTGCCACCAGGGACTCTGTGAAAGTCCATCCCTAAAATTAGAAATACATTTATTTCGCCTTTATGGATCAGTATCATTGTACTTACATATGAAAGAAAATACTACAGGAGTATGTCCTTAGGAAATACCACTGAAAATGGAAATATTATGGGGGGAACTCTGGACAATAATTGCCTATCTGTCTATATTCCTATGAATAAAAAGCCAAAGTGTGTTTTCTAAGTATTTTAGTCTTTTGTGAAACTTTTTCTAATTAAGTCCAGGGAACAATGTTATCAAGTTTGAGTGACTTAGAGGACAGTACTGATATTCTGTTAATGCAGACTTCTGAAGATGATTGGAGAGTTCTAAGCCATGGACGTGTAATCCCCCCATTCTTCCCTTCCAAGGGGAACATGTGGAAACAAGACCCTATACCACTGTGGGACTTGTGGTCTTTGTGGGCTCCTTCTGTTATGATATGAGCACCCTACCTTTGTAGTCAAACTGCGTTTGCTTAAAATGCTCAGCAGAAAAAGGCAGTGTGGCCATTCCATGGAACTGGCTGGAACTGGCAGGCCCAGGCTTGTCTTATGGCCCTTGATTTGTATCCCAGCACTCAAGTATCTCTGAGGTATCTGGTTACTGGTTTTTGTAACTGTTTTACTGAGATCCTCCAAGAAGAGCCAGGAAATAAACTGACTCTCAAGTAAGAGGATGGAATGTCTATAGCAGTTCACAGTTGTGACTGTGTTTGTGGCGTAGAAGGCAGTGCTATTCCTATTAGTAGAAAGTGTGAGCATACTGATGACTGTTTCAGTCCTCCCTGGCCACAGCACACTCAGGGCTCGCTGTTCTGTACCTAAGAAAAATTAACTATTTTGTGTAACATTTGATAGGTCAGTAATCTGGGAGGTGTGTGATGTGTGTAAACAAAAAAACTACATATTTCTATATCAACAAGCTTGGGTATGATTTTGGTGTGAGGTTCACATTTTACATTTATGTAGCTTGAGTGTGTAAAAATAATCTCATGGAAGCCCGGAAGTCCATAGATGAGGAGGATTCATAAATACGATTTTTCCTCTGTTTCCTGATTTGAAGTTCAATAGAAAGATCAAATGGGATTTGGACAGGAAGCCTGTGCAGAGAGATAAAACCAGAGTCTTCTGAGGTTGATTCTGACTTGTTTATTAATTGTCTAAAGCCTCATTGGTCCCAAGGGGAGTCAGGACAGTAAAGAGAAGGAAAGGAAACTTTGTCACAGGCTGGAGTAGTGCCAGAGGTCCCAGAATGGTGGCAGGACTCACATCCATATGATTTAGTTAGAGGGACTCATTAATTTAACACAGAAATTGGAGCTTAGACTTAACCCTAATCACTATGGCTTTGAGGTCACCAGGGGTAGGAGAAGCAGATTATCATAAAATCATAGGACTTGAGGTGGGAAAGAATTTCAATGTCATCCAGTTTATCCTTTCCCAAAATATAGCTATCCTCTCTGCAGCATTTGTGATCATATTTAGGGGGGTGTGGAGAAAAGGGTGAGTTTTATTGAAGTATAATTTAGATACAGTAAAATTCACCTTTTTAGTATACAGTTCTGTGAGTTTTGCCAAACTAAGGTGTGTAGTTTACCGTCAGTATATAAAACAGTGCATCACTCCCAAATTCCTTCACTCCCCTTTATAGTCAGGCTATTCTTCTTACCCCCAGCCCCTGGCAAACGGATTAGAAAACTGCTGATTTGTTTTCTGCCCCTAAAGCCTGGCTTCTTTAATGTAGTATGATGTAGTTGAGATTCATCTCTGCTATTGTGTGTATCATATCTTATTCTGACCTTGATTCAGAATTATTTAAATTGTCTTCTTGCCCAGAAGGAATCTCATGGCTTTGGATTCTAACTGCAAAGAGGGACCAAGTCCCTGGAGGACTGTGCCTCCTCCATCTCTGTGTCTCTTCTTGTTGTGAAGGAAGAACTGTCATTGCCCTCAGAAATACAGCACTGATTTCAGGATATTTAAATATCTGAGGGGGAAATTTCCTCCACTGGCCTTAGAGGAATTTTGAGCAGTATCATCAGCCATTGCTTGATAGATGTTGACAAGAACGTCACCTATTTGATGTTGGTGCTGCCTCATCATAGTCTCTTAGAATGTGAGAGCTTGAAGGGAATTTAGCAGTCGTCTAGGCCAAGCTTTCTCAGCCTCAGCACTGTTGATAGTTTGGCCAGGTAATTCTTTGTTGTTGGGGTCTGTCCTGTGCACTGTAGGGTGTTTAGCATAATCCCTGGCCTCTACCCACTAGATGCCAGTAGCAGTCCCAGTCATGACCATCAAAAATGTTTTCAGACACTGCCCACTAATCTATGGCAACCCCCTCATATTCCAGATACAGCCATGTGGCTTACATGGGGTTTTACAGATAGGTAATGCGGAAGTGGGACTAGACCCATATATCTTTTTTATTGATTTCAGAGAGAGGGAGGAAGAGGGAGAGAGAGATAGAAACATCAATGATGAGAGAGAATCATTGATTGACTGCCTCTTGCATGCCCTTGACTGGGAAATGAGCGCGCAACCTGGGCATGAACCCTGACTAGGAATCGAACCTCGATCTCCTGGATCCTAGGTCAGTGCTCCACCGCTGAGCCATGCCCAGCTGGGCAGCCCATGCTTCTTATATTGGTCTTTTCATTGCATTGTACCATTATACCTCCCTTTTTTCATATTTTACAGGCTCAAAAGATAAATTCAGAATTAAAATTCCTTAGTGCTTTAGCCCTTCCCAGTTCTTAGTGGTAACGCACTTAAATGGATCAGGTGTCAACAAATATGGGCTGCTAGAGAACAAGTCAGCTATTGCAATTTCTACTGAGAGGCTTTAATTGTTAAATATCTGTATATTCTAATGTGTATCCTTTCTTTTGATTGTCTCTCCAAATCTATTAAATCTATATTATTTACTCCATTTTATAGATAAGGAAACTGAGGCACAGAAAGCTTACAAGAGTTGGCCAGTGAATGGTGGAGCAGGGATTTAAATCCAAGACTGTCCAGCTCTAATTTGCATGCCATTTCCACCAAGCCTCACTGACTCCCAAAGTTAAAATAATCCCATTTAGTCTATTAGTGCCCAGGTCATCTCTTTATAAATATTATTTGATTTGATTCTGTCAACAGCCTAAAAGGTGGGTTTTATCTCTCTTTCATAGTTGAGGAAATTTAGGCTTAGAGAGGTTATATGATCTGCCCAAAGTCAGAAGTGAATCTTAGATTTGAGCACAGGATCATCTGAATGCAAAGTTTATATTCTTTACTCCACAGCAGTGTAAAAATTTTGGGGGAAAGAGGGATATAGGGAAAGGAAGGGATGGAAATTGAGGAAGAGGAGAGAAGGTGAAGGGGAAAGAGAGAGAAAAGACTACAGCGGATGCGGACTGGTAGGGGAATCATATTTGACAGTCTTGTCCATTACCCCATGGCCCTGGTGTCATTAGCTTCTTATTCTTTTTTTTACGTTAAAAAAATTTTCAATTACAGTTTACATTCAGTATTATCTTGCATTAATTTCAGGTGTATAGCATAGTGGTTAGACAATCATATACTTTACAAAGTGTTCCCCCCAATATTCCCAGTACCTACCTGGCACCAATACATAGTTATTACAATATTATTAACTATATTCCCTATGCTGTACTTTACATCCTCATGACTATTTTGTAACTACCAATTTGTATTAATTTCTTCACCTTTTTCACCCAGTCCCCCAACTCCCCTTCCCTCTGGCAACCATCAGTTTGTTCTCTGTATCTGTGAATCTGTTTCTGTTTTGTATGTTCATTTATATTGTTCTTTAGATTCCGCATACAAGTGAAATCGCATGATATTTGTCTTTTTCTGACTGACTGACTTCACTCAGCATAATACTCTTCAGGTCCATCCATGCTGTTGCAAATAATAATCAGCTTCTCATTCTTAAGGCAGGCCATTATTAGTCTAAATTGTGTTTTTAGTCTTTGTGAATATTTGGACTTGCCAAAGGCTTCTACAAAATTGGACTACATTTTTATCTGGCTTGAGTTGACGTT